GCGTGTGCGTGAGAGGGCGTGTGCGTGAGAGGGCGTGTGCGTGAGAGGGCGTGTGCGTGAGAGAGCGTGTGTGCATGCGAGTGTGTGTGAGAGTGTGTGTTTGTTACAGTAGTTCTTTGTTTTATGTTTTTGTTCTGTGAAAAAGCAAAAGCACCAAAACAAATCTGGACTTTTTTTTCAATTAATTAAATTAAATTTTTTATATATTTAATTTAAAATGTAATTACATATAATGTATACAAATATATGCTCGAAATACATTATATATTTTTTATTTATGTATGTATATATTTATGCATGTGTGTGTGTGTGTATTTAATTATTTACTAATTTTTTGCAGTGTTTTTAAGTGATCACTCCAGCTTGTCTGCGTGTTTCAGTCCGCGGTTTTCTCTCTGGTCTCTCACAGATTGCTAAGATGGGAGGAGAGCAGATGCAGCATCTGAATAACTCGTCTCCGGTCGTCGATGCCTCGCTGTACGGCTATGGAGGGCAGAAACGCTCGCTGGACGAAGGAGGTACCTGGGGGTTTTGTGGTTAGAATTGTCTGCTAAATGATTAATTGTCGTCATGAGTTTTGTCACCAGTGTGCGATCAGTCACGTCTCAGTAATACAGCAGATACAGGACAAATGTGAAGTAACCCTGAGGTTAAAATCAATGCAGGACTTTATGAAGCGTTGACCTTTGACGACGAGCCATTGATTAGTGCTTCTGTTCTCGAGCTGCTTGTGAAACGTCAGAAACAGCGAGTCACATCATGGTTAAAAACTGGGCTGAAAATTAAAGTTAAAATCTGTGGAGAATTGTTTTTTTTTTCATTTATTAATGCAATGTTTTTTTCTGGCCTTAATTGTTATTGGCTATTACTAAAGGACAGCTTTATTAAGTAGCTCGGCATAATATATTTTTTGCATTTCTTTCTTAGAAACTCCCCAAAGTTATGTTGATTAATTATTATATTAATTAATAATTTTTATTATTAATTTTGCATCTTTTTATGCATCAAAAAACGTTTTTCTTGATACTTGCACTCCATGGCACTTTAAATTCAACATTTTCGTGTTTTAACTGAAACCAACATGAATACAGTATATAAGATATAAAAGGCTTTTCTGCAAATTAATGTAGTTATTCATATTTGACCAATAGAGGATGTAAACGTCACGAATCTCACCAAATCATGGCTTTAATATCTTAGAATTATGCTATTTCTATTCATTATTTATTTGCAATTCATTGAATGTCTAAAACTTTATTTGTTAGATAAATAAATAAATAATAATGATAATTACTGTTTTTAATCTATTATTAAATTTAATTTTTAAGTGTATTAAAACTATTTATTAAAACTTTTTAACCCCAACATTGTCTCAAAACGTGAAATATAATATATTAGTTATGACTGCATTTTTAAATCGGCATTTTTTTTAAACATTTGCATATTGTAAGGTTTGAAGCTTCTTCTGCCAGACTGTAATATGATGCTCTGTGTATTTTTCAGTAATAAACACTAATGTATTTTTCCTGTAATGTATTGTTTCTGTGAAGTGGCTAACCAGCTCGGTGCAATGGTACATGGTACAAGGTGAGAGCTTTAATTCATTAAAACTCTTATATTTCTATTTCTGTGCACCGCTGTAATGATGCTGTTGGTATGTGTTTGTTTAGGGCTATAATAACAGAAGACTTCAAAGTGCCTGATAAGATGGTTGGATTCAGTAAGTACTGATATTCTTCATATGGATTTTGCACAAACATTTGAGCTTTAGTAGTCTAATCATTAGTGTGAAATATCTAATGCAGCTTTTTTGTGATGTTAGATTTTATTTAATAGTTTATGAATGAATGCTCTAAAAGTGTGCAGATTTTTACTGACAGATCCTGCCGAGATTTATACTGATTTACTCACATTTACATTTTTTGGTGTAATTTAAAAAAAATATATATATATATATAAATATGTATATGGGTCAAAGACAAAAAAGGGTTTAAACACAAAAACAATACTGCTTTCAATTGTTGTTGTTTTCCCCAAAAATGTAAAAAAGTTTTCTGTTTAATGTAATTGTGTTTTTGTTTTTGTGTTTCCGAGCAAAAAATAAATATCATAACTTTTCCCCTGATTTACAGAAGAGACGCACTATAATGTCATTCAGTGTAACAATCTCGTCAGGCATATTTACAACAAAATCAATTTATGACACATTAAAAAACTAATTACTTTCCCCCCAAATACTAAGTTGTAATTAAATTTTAGTTTTTAAAATGTGCCACTATCCTAGGTTTCGCCCATTTGTCAGTAAGAATTTTTTACTCATTTAAAACACAATAAAATGTAATATGCACACTTATTCTTTTGTATATATTTTAATATGTACAGGTCAGAATAAGCATGTTGTTTGAATTTTAACATAACTAAGTGTTACACTGAATGACGATGCAACGTTATTTCAACCAAATTGTAACATTTTACTCTTCAAAAACGTATTTGAAATGTAGACACTTTACTCACATCTAATGTGCTTTCTATGGACATAAAATCACTTTCTGATGCGGACATCTTAACGTCTTTGGCCCATATATATATATATATGTGTGTGTGTGTGTGTATAAGCATTTACTGTTGTGTTCTGGAAAACTTGTATCCTGGTATGCACACAATTTTTGGCCTTTTAGAATCTGAACTCTGTATGTTTATTGAATTATTTTCTTCTTTAATGAATAGTAGTATGCATGCAGTTTTTGGCCTGATATAAGCTGATCTGTGTGTTTTTCTCGTCCGGCAGTCATTGGACGAGGCGGTGAACAGATCACAAGAATTCAGCTGGAATCCAACTGTAAGATCCAGATCGCTGGCGGTACGTTCTGATCGCATTACAGCCATTTTCTGCTTCTGTGAACCTCAAGTTTGTCTCGTTTGATCTCTTTACGTTTACGTCGTTCCTCAACAGAACTGGGAGAGTGAGGCGAATGTGGCGTGGCGTTTGCAACAGTGCATCTGTCTGATGTTGATTTATATTTGATTATAAATGTCTGAAAAACAACACAGTAGAAGGTTATGGGTTTGATTCCGAGGGAAAGCAAGAACTGATGAAATGTAAGCGTCGGTGCAAGGGAAAACAAGCGTCTGCCAAATGCCTAAATGTAAATAAAAAATGTTATAATAATGAAAATATTAAGATATTTTCAAAAAAATATGTATAATGTTATATTGAGATATATATATATAATAAAAAAATCATTAATAATTATTAAACTTTTATGTAATATTATATTGATATTTCATAGATATTTAATTAATCAGTATAAGTGCTAATTATACATTTGAGAATCTGATTGATGCTTATTAAACATATGATACATACAATTAAGTAGTAATTGATTTTATGAATAAAATAATATAGTAATTAAAACTATAAATATTCTAATAAAGCAAAAATATGTTGATATTAAATACATATTTAATTATAAATTGTAATATACATTTGAGAAATTATTTATTATATATATATATAAAATAAAAAAATCATTAATAATTATTATGATTTTATATAATTATGTAATATTATATTGATATTTCATAGATATTTAATTAATAAGTATAAGTGCTAATTATACATTTGAGAAACTGATTGATGCTTATTAAACATATGATACATACAATTAAGTAGTAATTGATTTTATGAATAAAATAATATAGTAATTAAAACTATAAATATTCTAATAAAGCAAAAATATGTTGATATTAAATACATATTTAATTATAAATTGTAATATACATTTGAGAAATTATTTATACATATTCTTCATTTTAATTTATAATAATTTGTGATCTTGCATTTATGCTAAATTGTGAAAATATAATATTCCTTATGCATACATGTAAATAAAAATAATATAATAATGAAACTATTTAAATATTATGATAAAATGTGTAATAAATATATTGATATTTAATACAATGTAATTAATAATAATCATATATTATAATACATTTGAGATTTTTTATTGATGCGTGTTCCTTAGTAATGAATGATTTTAATTTATTATAATTTCATTTTTGCAAAATGATATTTATTTTTACTAGATCTGTGCCTCTCTACAGTTTAGAATTTATGCGAAGAAATAAATTATTATTTCCTTTTTCCTTTCCAACACTCTCTAATGCCATTTTTGGGTGCATTTCTTACCAAATAGTGCCATTTATTATGATTTTAGCGATAAAGATTAACGTATAATGAGTACTGATTTTAAAAAATGTCAACGTGTTTGATCCATATGTAGTCATAACTTGATCGTTGTGGTATCCAGAGAGAAAACGAACTCTGAAGCTGTAAAGTGTTCATGCAAACATGGATATCACGATGTTCGATGGAAGTCACGTTAGCCACGAAGAGCTAAAGTTAGTACGATCGCACAGACTGAGCAGCAGCTCCTCGTTTGCCCACAGGCTGTGTTGTGCATTTTTTGGGGTTTCTAATTTGCAATGATTTGTCATGTCACCCCCACAGACAGCGGAGGTATGATGGATAGGCCTTGCACCCTGACTGGGACCCCAGAAAGCATTGAGTAAGAATGCAGCACCGCAGTTTAACCCTTGAGCACAAGCACAACGCATTATACGCTGCTGCTTTATTCGAGTCAGAATGCACTGAATGAGCGCCGGTCATTCGTCTGTCGTTCGTGTTTGTCAGGCAGGCCAAGCGGTTGTTGGGGCAGATCGTGGACCGGTGTCGGAACGGACCGGGCTTCCACACTCAGATGGACGGGAACAGCGCTGTCCAAGAGATCCTGATCCCGGCCAGTAAAGTCGGCCTGGTCATCGGGAAGGGAGGCGACACCATCAAACAGCTGCAGGTTTGTTCATTCTGGGAGATGATCAAGAAGATCCAGAACGATGCAGGAGTCAGGATCCAGTTTAAGCCAGGTCAGTGTTCACAAACCTCATGTTTGTGCAGCGTTAACATGCATGCAAGATACTGTCGAATTAGACACAGTTACGCTGTTTCGTAACAAAAATAATTTAATATCACCTAATATGTTGATGCTGAGTTTTTTTGTTTTTATTTTATATATATATATACGGATTAGACATAAAATAATGTGTTCAGAATCATTCATGCGTGTGAAAAAGGGATGAAATTTAAACGAATAGCTGTAATCTGGCTCATATTCTGACAGGATTCATGTCTTCGCCTTATAGATGATTCTCAGAAGCAAAACTGCTACAGAATGCGTCATATTCAGTGAGAAAGTGTGATGTGTGAGAGCAAAACAGGGCAGTATTTCTGAAATCAGCAGTGCTAATTATTAAGAAACAAGTGTTGGATTTCTTTTAGCTAATTCTGGTCCACATTGCGTCTTATTCTGGTCAGAAACAGAAAATGACGCTTGTGCGCGTGTTGTGTGTAATCAATTAAAGCCAAGTTAACCCTGTAAAGCCTGACATGGAATAGTCTAAAAAAAAATTTTTTTTTTGAAATGCATAAGTTTGTTAATGTTAATCATTGAGATTAATAAATTCACATACAGTATCAGTGTGATAGAGTAGTTTTGTGGTGTTAAAGCGGTGTAAATGAGCTGTAGCGGTTGTAATCTCCGGATCGGATCCGTGTCTGTTTCAGATGACGGGATGAGTCCGGACCGGATCGCTCAGGTCATGGGTCAGCCGGATCGGTGTCAGCACGCGGTTCACCTCATCAACGATCTGGTCCAGACGGCACAGGTACAATATTGTCTGTTTTTGCCTAATTGTGACAACGAAAATGGTTGCAATCAAAGCCACAGCAGAACCACTGAGCGTCTCTGATCAACATTCAGCGGTGTTTCGTTACTAAATGAATCAACAGTTTTGAATGAATCAAGTGAGTCAGTGATTCAGTGACTTCTGAATTAATCAACAGTTTTCAATGAATCAAGTGAGTCAGTGATTCAGTCACTTCTGAATTAATCAACAGTTTTGAATGAATCAAGTGAGTCAGTGATTCAGTGACTTCAGTCACTTCTGAATGAATCAAGTGAGTCAGTGATTCAGTGGATTCAGTCACTTCTGAATTAATCAACAGTTTTGAATGGATCAAGTGAGTCAGTGATTCAGTGACTTCAGTCACTTCTGAATGAATCAACAATTTTTGAATGAATCAAGTGAGTCAGTGTTTCAGTGACTTCAGTCACTTCTGAATGAATCAACAGTTTTGAATGAATCAAGTGAGTCAGTGATTCAGTGACTTCAGTCACTTCTGAATGAATCAACAGTTTTGAATGAATCAAGTGAGTCAGTGATTCAGTGACTTCAGTCACTTCTGAATGAATCAGTCATTTGAGCAAATCTGTTGAGTGATTGATTCAATAATGGCGCTTTTAGTTTCATCTTTAGAGTATCATCCAAGTTCATATCTCAGTGCTCGTTATAAAATTAATACCCATTTATTATTATTTCTAAAGCAATTTTTTTGGTAATGTCTATATTTATGATTTTCTTATTTAACACAATAATGACTTTAAATGGAGTCAGCCGGAATTGATGTGCAGCTAATTATTTAATAATTACACATGATGAATGAATTCGATGCAATATTTGAATGGCTTGTCTGGTGTTCAGGAGCGCGATGGGTTCGGAGGCCCGGTTGGACCCAGAGGTCGCGGCAGAGGTCGCGGGGATTGGAGCATGGGATCTCCCGGAGGCCTGCAGGAAGTGACCTACACAATACCAGCTGATAAGTGCGGCCTCGTGATCGGGAAAGGTTAGGACTTCCTCTGCATTCGACACTTTTATTAAAGCAACCTTATAAGCACGTCGCAAACTGTACATTATTATTGTATTGGAATGAAAGCATTGATTCATTAGCAGATCAAAGTGGAGTCGGTTTTTAGTTCGCTTGTGGTTTTTCTGAAGTGTCAGTGTGTGTATAAGTGACCCTTGTGTAAGTGTTCACTCTGTAGGGAGCTTTTGAGCGCTTCATTGCAACACAATGAGGTAAAACATCTTCTGGGTGGTCTAAAACACCGCTGTTCATCTGAATCTGAATGAAGCGCTTGACATTCACACTTTTTTATTTTTTGAGTTTAAGTGCATAGCAGGGTGATTATCATACATTAAAATCATTTTTTTTTAATTGTATTACTCAGGGTGGGTGGGGGGGACATTAAGATACAAATATTTTAAAAAAGCCTTCAGCTAGAACCTCAAAGTAAATGAAAATGAGAAAACAACCTAAAATGAATAAGAATGACAACATGTAACAAATTTACAAAAGTTTCAGCTAAAATTAAAAGGAAAGCATTGAAGTCAAACCAGATGTTTAAATTAAAATTGTATTTCTGTTAGTTGCAAAGGCAACATTTCTTGTTTTCATTCAAGTACTAAAATAAATGAAATGAAATAAACTAAAACATTATTTAAAAAAATTGTAAAAACGACAAAAGCACAAAATGACCAATTAACATAAACAATAAAATATAAAACTTTCATTTAAGTTGAAGTACTAAATAACTAATTAATAAAAAAGTCTTTAATAACAAAAAAATCACACACACACACAACAAAACCTAAAATGAAAATATATTTAAAAAAACTGATTTAAAATGTTTTCAAAAACTTAATTATTACAGACATAAACAATAATATCAAAGTAACCTGAAATGAAAAAAATATATTAAAAAAAATGATTTTTTTTCTTGGCATTGGGCATTTTATGTTTAGACACCGAGTTATGAATACAACTAATCTAAGTTATATGTCATCACTAATAGCTTGTTAGTGTAATGTTGATTCATCCGTGCACAGCAGATCACCTCAGATTCGTTTTGCATGAATTATTGGGTGGGATTGAGCAGATGTGCGTTCTCAGACTCGACATCTCATTGTTAGATGCTCTTTTCAGTGCGAGTTAAAGACCACCAGTTAGCAGCGTCTCACGGCTTTAACCAGCATCCTTTAACTAAACCGGTCCGTCCGTGAACTCGGCTCTTTATGACGCCGGAGCTCATAATGGCTTCATTAATGCAGCGGTTAAATTTGTGTGACAATAAGGCGCCTGGATGAGTGAACAAATGTTCAGACAGCACTGTGACTCTCTTTAGCCCAGGCTCTTGTGTTTGCACACCTCGATCCCCCCCGAGCTGCTGATTTAACCGTTCAGTTTGGGAGGCATTTAATTATTTATTTATTTTAAATTATTTTTATTTTCATTTTTTTAACAATCCCTTGTGTCCATATACTTTTTTTTTTTTTAAACCATTGTAGACTGTATGGCTGTTTAGTGAGCAGGTCTTACGTATTTATTAATTTATTAATGTAATTGTTTATTTGTTTGTCCCTGAATTTTCTATTTGGTCATTTTATTTAAAAATTATTATTATTATTTTTTTTTTTTTTTAATGGTAACCTTTTATTTTATTTTTGTCCTCTGTGTTACGCTTTTATTTTTATTTTTAACAATTTTTTTTATTTTGGTTTTTATTTATTTATTTATTTATTTTTAGCTGTCCTTTTTAACCCATTTTAGCAGGCGTTATACACTTGTGTTTTTAATTGTTTTATTTGCTTATCCATGATGTTTATAACTGGTTATTTTATTTCTTTTTAACTTTAATTTTATTTTTATGTGTTTTAATTATTTACTTATTTTTCCCTTGTGTCCACATACTTTTTAAACCAAATGTTGATTATGTGGTTGTTTAGCAAGCAGTTGTTTTGCGCCTGTATTTTTAAAGTTTGATTGTCCGTCATGTTTCTAATTGTTTTTTTTATTATTTCGTTTTATTTAACTGGTGTTATCTTTTTTAATTTATTTAATTTCTGTCCCTGGTGTGTTTAACATGAAGTCTAGTTAAAACTCCCAGTGGTTTGAGACCGCACATATTGCATGTGATCGATCTGTGTGAGGAACAGAGCTTGTTACCGGATGGTGTTCATGTGTTTGTGTTCTGCTCAGGTGGAGAGACCATAAAGAGCATCAACCAGCAGTCTGGAGCTCATGTGGAGCTGCAGAGAAATCCTCCTCCGAACACCGACCCAAACGTGCGGATCTTCTCCATCCGTGGATCTCCTCAGCAGATGGAGATGGCCAGACAGCTGATCGACGAGAAGATCGGGGTGAGTGATCCGTTTCTCAGCGCTTTCTGTTTGCAAGTGCATTGTGTGCAGAAGCGTTCAAAAGTTTCAAAAAGGCTCACCAAGACTGCATTTATATGATCAAAAATACAATAAAACCCGCTGTTTTCTGTGTGAATCTCTGTTAAACTGTAATGTATTTCTGTGATGCGCAGCTGTATTTTCAGCATCATTCCTCCAGTCTTCAGTGTCACATGATCTTCAGAAATCAGTATAATATGCTGATCTGCTGCTCGAGAAACATTTCTGATTATTATCAATGTTGTGGAAACTGATACATTTGAATTTTCAGGATTCACAGATGAACAAAGTTCAAAAGAACAGTGTATATTTGAAACATTGTAACATTACAAAGCATTTACTGCTACTTTTGATCAATTTAATGCATCCTCGATGAATAAAAGCATGAATTTCTTATAACCATTTGACCCTAAACTTGAAGCATATGTCCAAGTTGAGTTTCTGTAGACTGTCCTCAGTCATTACTAACGGGCTGTTAATGACTGATTCTGGTTCTTCTTCATGAAGGCGTCTGGAATGGGAGGAAGCAGCAGTTTTGGACTCAGTCCTTTCACCCAAGGGCCAGCGACTCCTCATCAGAAGTGAGTTTCTTCCTTTATTTCCTCTCTGCCAGTGACTTTATTCTGACCTAAGTTTCAGGTTATTTTTAGTCAGAATATAGAGTTTCCCTCCGGGATGATGTTTCGTTTGCTTGTTCAGAGTACATGTAGTACTCATACTCGGTACTCTGAGTAGAAGGCAGTTATATGAGCCTAAAATTCAAGATATGAGGCAAAAAAATCACCCTCTTATATTTATATTTTAGCTATATCACACCAGCAAGAGTGCTGTTTTCCACCAATATCTGCACCACTGCAAATGAGATTTATACAGCAGCTCAATAAACAAGAAATTAATATCGTGTTGCATTTTATGCGCAATATTGTCTGCTTTTGCTTAATGTCGGTAAGCGTCTCTGATCAACACGCAGCAGTGATTCGTTACTGATTGAATCAACATATCTGAACAAATCGAGTGAGTCAATGACTCATTCGTAAAGAGTCACTTGCTTTGTTTTTGAATGAATCGGCCATTTGAAGAAATCAAGTGAGTCAATGAATCACTCAGTAAGACTCAGTAATTTCATATTTAAAGCATAATTTCATTTTTTTTTTAAAGTTTTCATATTTCAATATTGAGTAACAAAACAAAACTACCCATTTATTATCATTATGCATACAATGTTGAATCAAGATTGTCTTTTGTTATTTAACACAATAATGACTTTAAATGCTCTTTTGGAGGGTAATTTCTCAGCTTAATTTGATGTGCAATTAATTAATCTTCACATCACTTAATTAATTAATTAAAAACCACTTGATAGTGCCAAAGATTTGATGTACTGAACCTCCAGAGCATGTGTAATTCTACATCAGACGCGTTCAGGTGAACGGTTTTAGTGTGTTTCAGACCAGGTCGATTATCTGTGGGTTCCTGTGCAGTGCTTGTAATGCTGATGCTGTGTTTGTGTTGTTCTGTGTGTTAGTGGTCCGCAGACGTTCATGACTGGAGGTTGGGGAACCACGTACCAGACATGGCAGCCTCAGAGCCAGCAGGACCCCAGTAAGACTCGCTTTAAGCTTCGCTGTTTCTTCTGAGGAACAGCGCTTTCCTTTAGATTCACGTCGTTTTGCTAATTTCAGGTCACAATGCATCTCAGACCGGCCAGATGGACTATTCCAAAGCGTGGGAGCAGTATTATAAAAAGCTAGGCAAGTGTCTCAGACACTTAGCTGCGTTTCATCCTGAAGGTTTGGGTGAGACGCCGGGACTCTTAAGAGACGCGGCTGAGAGCGCTTTATTAGCCCGACTAACAATTTTCCCGGTCTGCTGTATTATTTTCTGCCACTTTTTTTGTTTTGGATGGACTGGAATACTGTTGTTTTTCGTTACTCGTCCTGATAAAAGCCTCGGACGAGCACAAAAAGCCCAACAGGACGCGATCCGTTATCGACATTCACAGCGTCATAACCGTAAAAGTCTTTGCGCAATTTTCCTAAAAAGACAAAAAAGATCTGCACTGCAAGAACAAAATTCATAGAAAACAATATCCTGGAAGAAAGTTACCTTTTCTCTGTTACTTTATGAACTTTACCTTTAACGCTTAACTTAATATTCATTGCTTTTGCAGGTTTATTTATCATCGGTATCATCGAAGTTGCAACTAGGGCTGTGTTGTTAGTTTGTAGAATTTTTTTTATTAAAAAATTGCTATTGGGATTTAAAATGCTGTTTAAAAAAAAAAATTTTGTTTTGTGCTTGCTTATAGGGTGAGGCCAAAATTTCGATATTGTATATCAGTATGGCTATAATAATAATGAAAGTTATTATTATTATAAATAAAAATACTAAACAAATAAGAGACATTGCTAATGTAATATTTTACTTTAAAATGAAAAAAAGAAAATGGTAGTAGAAAAATATTAATAATGCATAATTTTATTTGACTTTTTAACTGTAATACACAACACTAAGATTTATGGCTGCTCAAATTTCTAGATTTTCAAATGTTGAAAACGGTCAAACGTTTATTCTGACGCAGGAGCACTTAAAGCTTCTCTTTCTTTGACGAGCGCTTCTTGTTATAAATTTGTGAAGATGTGTTTTGTTCCCAAATGCACATTAACGTTACTCTGAGCATTATGCAGATGGAGTTCATGTGAATCATTTGCTGTGAACCGAGACGGTCAGGAGCTGCTGGTGTGTAAATGAACAGTGCCACGGTTCACTCACTGTGTGTATGTGTGTTTAAATGAATTGCAGCCTTATGATTTCGGTTTTATTCTGATTAATCAAGCAGCTCTAGATGTAACTGATGTTCCTGGATCAAACTGAGACTGAGTTTGTGTGTTTTGTCTTCGCAGGTCAACAGAACCAAGGCCAGAGCAGCGGCTCCGACTACAGCAAAGCATGGGAGGAGTATTACAAGAAACAGAGTAAGAGAACGTCTGTCCTCCTGATGCAGTCAAACCCAGCTGGACTTCAGTGTTCTCATCCTTCTGTCTGTGTGTGTGTGTGTGTGTGTGGGT